TTTCACGAATTTCTCTATATAAATTGAAAACTGTTATTCAAAAAAAACAAGACAAATAAATAAACAAACCTTAATAATTCAATAGTAAATGATGTATCTTGATACTCAGTTAAAAGGCAATTGAGAACATCAATCAATAAACTTGAATTACTATCATAAAGTTTAACTGCTTGAATAAATCGAATAGAAGCTTCTGAAATATAACAAAATAAAATAATATTATTCAATTATTTTTCTTATTTTCAAATATACCTCGTGCATGTTCAAATTTATTAATCATAATCGTAAGTATTAATGGAAGATTTTCTTTTATAATTGGATTCTTTGCGATATCTGTTCGACGTATTAAATGATAACATGGTTTAGTAACACATCTTTCAAAAAATAATTTCAATAAGTAAAAAAAAAGAAAATATATGATTTGTTTTTTTATTACTTAACAAATTGTTCATCAATGATTGAAGGACCCCATAATGGTTTAATATGTGATCGAATAATATCACAAAGACCTTTTGAAACATTTATCTCTCAATGAATCAGATGTTAAACTTGATTTTCCATTAGTTTTCGATGCTTTAGCTTTTTTGTATTTCTATTATAAATAAATAAAATTATTTTCATAAAATAAATTCATTAATAAATTATACTTTCGATGGAGGCATATCAACATCTGGTGATTTATTTGTTTGGTCATTATCAAATCGAATAATATATTCAGCAATAAGACATGAAAGCATTTTAATAATATTTAAATGAAAACGTCGACCATCAATTGAAAGACCACGATGAATTTGTCTTTGAACGTCAATCAATTCAAGTGATATTACTATTTTAATAACAATTCTTATTAAAAACATATATTTAAAAGAATTCTTACATTGAAGTAAGATTTCAACTGCTTGAGAACGTCAAGTAATCGATACTTTATCAAAATGACTATAAAAATAAAATAATCCTATTGAAAAATAAGAAGAAAGGGAAAATTTTTACATGGCAATACTGTAGAATAATGGAAATATATCAAGTAATTCTCTTGGTTCTTGAACTTGTGAAACATCTACATTAAAAAAAAACCAGAATTCTATTTAAATGAAATTTAATATTACTTTGTAAACGTGTATTAATATCAGCAAGATCAAGAATATTTTGTACATAATAAGAACCAGTAGTAAGTTCTTTATGTAGATCTTCAAATTGATTTGGTAGATCGAATGCCATCGAACGATTTATCGAAGATATTCGTCTTTATTTATTTTTCTTCTAGAATTAAAAATCAAATGATCTTAATAATAAACAAGTGTGCAAATCAATTGCTGATTTTAACGAATATCTTATTGGTTATTTAGTCTTTATTCTCTAAAGAAAAAGACCTCGTCTTCACTAGAGAAATAATACAGTATTATCTTGATATTAAATCAATCAATGTGCGTCTTCACTTATAAGTTAATGCACCAATCAGAATCGAGGACGCGCCTCAACCATGTATATATGACGTATAAAAAACAACACATTACTACAAAACGAGATATCGCTCTGTTTAGCTTAAAAATAAAGGAGTTGCTGTAGGGATAAATAGAATAATGAATTCTTTTCTCTTATTAAAAATGTATGGGTGTTTTATTTACTGTACTGCTGGATATTTCAACAACAAAAATGTTAAACCTGATAATAGTAGCTGTGAACAGAATGC